GAAAATTTTGAATTTGTTCTACCCTTTTCGGGTCCAATTTGAATCCTTGATCGTTAATAAGGTATCCTAAATAATTGACTTCAGTATGACAAAATTTAGTTTTTTTAATATTTATTTTCATTCCCTCAAATGTTAACGTTTCAAGAATTATTTTAATGTGTTCCAAATGCTGTTCTAAAGTTTCTGAGAAAATTAATATATCGTCAAAATAGTGAACGCAAAATTTTTCGTAACAATTTAATATTCGATGTAAGAATCTAATTAAAGCGGACGGACTACATTTCAAACCAAAAGGTGTAACTTTAAATTGGTAAATATTACCGTTTATATTAAAAGCGCAAAACTTTTTTGATTCTTCCGCTAATTTAATTAACCAAAATGCAGCTTTCAGGTCAATTTTTGTGAAATATTTACTTTTCCTACATTTGGAAATAAGTACATCAATAGTTTGTGGCATCTCAAACCCAGGTTTAATCCTTTTATTTAATTCTCTAGCATCCAAACATAATCGTAAACTATTATCAGACTTTCTTACAATGAATATTGGGTTTATATAACACGAGGTTGATCTCTCAATGATCTGTTGTTCTATCATTTTTTCAATTTTATTATTAACTTGATCTGTATAATGGAAAGGTATAGGGTAATTCTTATATTTTAATGGTTCTTCATTATCAATTAAAATTTTATGTTGGTAATTTCTAGCGAATGTGATCTGATCGTTGAATGTAATAGAGTTTTGTAATAGAATTTCTTTTAATCTTTCTCGATACTCACTTTTCAAATCTAACAAATCTATCAGTCTATTTATTTTAATACTTTTATTTTTTTCGGTAATAACTTCTTCTGAGTTATCCCTTTCAACATTATTTTTTATTAAATTATCTCTGTGATAATCATTCATGATATTATCATCAGAATCATAATTATTTTCAAATTTTTTATTTATACAATTAATTAATCCTTCTCTTTCGCTATCTATTCTCTTTTCTTCTCCTTTCTGTTGTTCTATTCCCTTCAATAGTATTTTCTATTACAAAATTTTCATAGATGATTTCCTTTTCAAAATTTATTAATTCTTTATCAATTACTAATTTTTTATTCTCAAAATTCAGGATCATTTCATGTTTAACAATGTTATCTATGCCAATTAGACATTCAAAAGACATTGCTTCATATAAATAAAATTCCATTAGATAACCTTTCCCATTTATATCAACCGTTGTAAATATTTTCTTGTCAATTGTACCTATTTTCTTTTTATTTGCTGAAAAAATTTCTATTTTCTTAATTTTCTCTATAATGTTATTTAAATTAGTTATCTTAGTTGCTACCGATGTATTTAAAAGTGAAATTTCTGCTGCAGTATCTAATATAGCTCTAATGGTTAAATTTTCAATCTTAATTTTTATAGTTGGTATAATATTATAAGTTGTTGGTAATTTCTCATTATAAAAATCTAAAAAATTATGAGGATTATCATAGAATTTTGTATTATTATTATGATTAATATTGAAGTAGTTTAGTGCTTTTATTATTATTTCTTGTGTAACACCGTCTGGAATTTTTGTAGCGCCTATTGTTTCATCGAAGTTTTTTTTTCTTCCGCTTCCTCATAACTAATATCCTCGGAGGGTCTGTGAATTTCAGCTATAGTTGTCAATCGGGGTGAAAATGTATTGGGTTTTCTATTCCAATCTCTTTCTTCATTAGTGGTGGTGATCATATTTAAGTATTTCTCGTCTTCTCTTCTAGGTGGCGTAAATCTTAATGGGTTAGAATTATTATTTATCCATCTCTGAGGATATGAATTTGGGCCATTATTGTTATTATGATTATATGAATTATGGAATCTTTCATTTCCGAATTTATTATTTCCTGACCGGTAATCTCGATTTTGGAAATGGTTACGTTGGTTCGTATTGTTGCTATAATTTTTATTGAAGTTATCATGTTTGGGATAGTGATTATTATCCTGACCATTTTTAGGTTGATTGTAAATATTATGTGTATCGTTATTGTAGTTTTTAGGTTTAGAATAGTTGTAGTCTCTGTAATATTGGTAGTTTTTATTGTTGTTATTATTATTATTAGGATTTAGTTTGGTTAAATTATTATAGGTGTCTAACCTTCGTAAGATTTCAATAAGTTCATTCATGTTTCTAACAGTTTGACACAATACAGAGTTGTTATCGGTTGTTCTGAAATGACTTAATAAGTACATTGCGATAGTATTTTCATCAAGTCCATAGATGTATTTGCATTTATTATAAAGTTTACAGGCATAATTTTCTCTACTACCACTATTGTCTTTGTACGTTCCTGCTAATAATTCGACTCTTAGTTGGTCTTGTTGGCTTCGATTCCAAAATTGATTGATAAATTCTCGACTAAAATCTTGAAAAGTCGAACATTTCTCACTTACCATTTCGAACCATTCTAATGCTCTGTCATTGAGTGTAAGTCTTACTAGATTCATAACGGTTTTCTCATCTTGTAAATCTTGGGTAAGTTTCTGTATGTTTTGCAAGTAGGTCATGGGATGGATTTTATAATGATAACCGTTAAATTTTGGCCACATCTCAGGCTTTAAATATGGTATGGTGGATGGTGAATCTACGTTAATAACGTTATTTCTGGTTGTTTTAATTTCATTTATTAATTTTTTTACGTTTTCATAATCTTCATATTCTTTAATTTTTAAATGTTCTATATTTTCGGAATTTTGTTTATTTAACTCACAGTTACTAATGATTTCTTGATTCATTCTAGTTTGTTGTTCACTTACTTGTTTAAAATTATAGTTAGTTTGTTGTTTTACCTCTTGTATGTTGTGCATATTGTTTTTTATCTGTTCCGAATATCCATGTGTTTGTTGTTCTATAGTTGTAATTATTTGGGAATTAGTTTCTTGACGTATGGTCTCAAGATTTTTGTTAACTTGTTGGGTTATTTTCCCATCTAATATTTCTGATATATCATCTAATTTTTTGTTGAGTTGTTTTTCCATTTCTTCCCGATGTTGTTTTATTATTAGTTCATTTTCTTTTTTATAAATGTTGAAGCTTTCGATCATTAAGTTTCTATTTTCTTCATTCAATTTTCTGATATCTTCATCTCTTTTAATTTGGTTTTGTTCATCTCTCATTCTGATTTCTTCATTCATTTTTTCATGATATCTTCATTCATTTTTTGTATTCTTTCATCTCTTGTAATCATGAATTCCATCATTTCCTTCATCGTTACTTGTCTTCCTTCAACCGTTTCTTTTTTATCACCACTGCTTGTAGCTGTCGTGGTTGGTTGTATATTTAGGTCTGTGTTCTCTTCTTTTCTACTTTTAGAGACAGATCTTGATCTCGTCGTTCTTTCTGCCATTTTTTTTTTAATTGCCTTTTTTGATAGTTTTTTTTTTTTTAAACCTGCCTTTTTGATAGTTTTTTTTTAAAACCTGCCCCACGTTGGGCGCCAAATTGTAATGTTTTTCCAAATGGACTGCAAATAGTCCCTCTTCTTTTGAGAAGAATTATTTTAATGAAAACAACATTACTAAATTTTATAATAATTTGTTTTTTTATTAAATTGAAAAAAATTTAAATATTTAAACAGAATTGTCGAATTATCTCAGGGTTAAGGCAGGTTCTGGTAATACTGTCAAGACAAACATGTGCACAACTTAAGGTGCAATCAAATTGAGATGTTGTCGACAAAATTAACAAAATATACTGATTATATAAACAAATATTCTAAATTAGTTGATTCGAAGTAATATTTATCAACTCGGATATGTTATGGTCTTAAACAACTCGTCAAATATTAAATTAATTAGGAAATTGTAATCGTAATCTCAAAATTTATATTGAACTTATCAAGAACTTCTCTTATTGAAGGTAAGAAGAGTTTTTTTCTTTAAAAAATGTATCAACAAAAACAATAAATTATAAAAAAAAATAACTTAGCCAATTTGTTTCTATGGGAACTTTGGAGGTCAAACTCAGAATAATATTTTCTTCGTGACAGGTGATGGTTGGATTCAGGATTGAGAACCAATTTTTCTCTTCACTAGTGATGATGGTTTCTACCAGAAACGGAACCAATTGCTTTACTTGATCAGGAGCGAATTTAATCGTTTCTTCGAAATTATTGAACAGGAACGGATATTCTTCTTTAATAGGAACAAGATGAATTGTTTTTTTTCAGAGTTAAACAGGAACGGATATATTTTTTTAAACTCGTTAACACGTTGATTTAAATAATTTTCAGCAGAGCAAAAAAAATGTGTGTGTTTCTTTAGACAACAGGAAGCACACTCTTTTTGTTGATAAATTCCGTTTTTCGGATGTTAAATTTCCAAATAACCTCTCCTGATTGGTTAAATTTATGGATTTGGAATTTGTGTCTTAGTTTTTTCAATGTAGCCAACTTTGACATTTGAAATGTCTCTAATTCAATTTGTCAAATTATTATTTAAATTTTTAAAATTATTTATAATTATGCGTGATATTTCGTAATTTTGATGCTCTTTTAAATCAATTTTCAAATATCCATTCATTTTCTTCTGATCTCAACGATAAATTTTCCAATATGTTCAAATTAATTTTGTAAATTTTCATCCAAATTTCATTATTCCATACAAATATTAATTATTTTCTTTGTTAACCAAGTTAAGTTTATCGTTCTAAATAGGTTTGATCCGGGTAGATAAAGATTTAAATAAATAATTTTGAAAAATTTAAATTGAGGTTATCTAATATCGAATCTTTAAAATTACTTCGCATCGACTTTACAAGTGATAGTTTAGGATTAGAACATTAAAGAACAATAAAATGTACCGAAATTCACTAGTGTATAGTATCTAACATTATTTTATAATTGTTTAAAAAAAACTCTTCTACGATCAATACGATAATCAAACAAGACTAAACTGCTGGTAATGGTTATTATTACAATATATATATATATATGTTATATAATATATGTTATATAATATATGTTATATATATGTTATATAAATATGTTATTACATATTTTTTACAATAATTGCTTTACAATTTTTGTTAAGGGTGAGTACTGGAATGCCTTATCATGCAATATCAAACAGTAAGCCGTTGTATTATCGGGAATCTCCTTTTTCGTGGAAAATTCAATTTTTATTTCAACTCCACTTCTATGCAGAGCTTCAGGTTGATGACTACAATCTATTCCAATTAATGGAGCGTTGATAGAATATTGAGATGGTGATAATAATGGTTTACTTTGTTGATAATGATAAAATTGTTGAAATCTAGCATACATATCATACAAGATAGCAAAATGATTACTTTCAAAATCAACATTCATATTATCGTATGGATAACGTTCACCATTTAAAAATACAGTCAAATTACTTAATGATATATTATCAAATTTAGCCATAGATTCTGTTACCCGACTTTTTCTATTCGTTTGAAAACCGATTATTATAAAACGAGGGATTTCCAGCTGTGGCGCCGTCTTAACGGACCAAGATTGTTTTGTAGTTTTCGGTAAAAATGATATTCATGAATTTCCCAACTTCTAAATGGCATAGGTATATTTACATTTTTACCAGCTAATTTTGTTAACATCAATTGCTCTCGAAGTCCAACTGATACATGTGGTACCCTCCAAACTACTCTATCTATCACAATCTTAACCTTTTCATCCTTAGCGATATCTGGTTGAATGATCACATCAATATCATCATTATTACGAATTAGTACCAGTTCTTGTCGAATGTTCATTATAACTTTCTTAAAATCCTCTGCGAAACCTAATAATGTATTGAGGGGTACGCTAATACCGAATTTTCCATTAACATCTAAAGCATTAGACGTTCCTGTTAAAACACCTTTTCTATCTTTTATTGATTCGTCTATTTCAATATTCCACCCAGCATTTTCTAGTTTTACCATATCATTTCTTTTATATGAAAAATAACCTTTCATGCATGATGTAATCCCAACATTTCTGACAGAATCGACTTGAACACCGTTTAAAAGATATCTGATATCGCTGAACATAAAAGCTGCTGGGTTATTAACCAACTTTGCCGTTTTACTAACGTCTTTTGTTATACTACCATCAGCACCTACCTTCAAAACACTACCTTCAATATATAAGTAACTTTCGCTAGGTAAAGTATAATTGTCGATTTCAGGTATAGTTATTCTAATTTCGTCACTGTTATCATAACTGACAGAACCGAAAGGTTGATGTGTGTGATATTCATAGCTAACTATAGAATTATCAACTGTGACTTTATCGGTAACGTTCAATATATCCATTTATAACAATACTGTGTATCCTAACTGCTCTAAAAAGTTGCGGTTAATAGGTGTTATCCTTTGAGTGGATTTTTGTCGACTGTTAAGTTGTAAACTTTTTGTGTTCTTCTTATACTTTCTTTTAAAAATGTTGTTTAAAAAGTATTTTGTTTGCACTTGTTGTCTCTGATTATATATTACACCCATATTATTATTATTGTTATTATTATTGCTATTTATTATTATTATTAATTATTATTATTATTTATTTATTATTTGTTATTATTATTTATGTTATTATTATTATTTATGTTATACAGATCTTAAATGTAGTCGAATCGTTACTTCTTCACCTCTAAAATCAACCAAGTTTCCGCTTTGATCTATCACACGTACAATTAGTGTACTAATTACATTTTTGGTAATCGGTAAATATATAGGATGTTGCGGTGTCTCGATTATTTTGAAACCGGACGCTACATTCGGAAAAAAATGGTATAAGACATGCACGGGTTCACCATTATTGTATGAACCGTTAACTATGTTACAATATATCTGTAAAGCATTCACCTTGTTGACATTTGCAATAAAATCTGATACATCTTCTATGTTTGCAGGTATTATTCTCTTTTTGAAGCCCAACAACGATCCTATTGTATTTTTTGTAGAAAAGTCTAGTTCTCCAGTACTTTTAATGTTAGTGCGTTGAGTATTGTTGTTCCCAATAATATCAATATCTATCTCATGATTTCGTATGTCAACTTGTTTTCGAACGTACTCTGCAATATCATCAATGTCATAAGTTCCTACAGGTATTACAATTTTGTCCATCCATACAGCATTATGCATTTGATGACTATAATTCAATTCATTGTTACTCTCATCAACATTTGGGATTGAATTGAAAGCATCAAAGTTTAAAAGAGCTAACTCATAATCACGCGAAGGATCTAAAAAAATCGGTGGATTAAAATAGCATGACAATTCTGATGCCTTCCCCGTTAACGTAAACGTATAGGATGCTGTTGTCCGCGCATCCATCGTATATAAACTAAAGTAATAACCTTCTCGTCAAATCGTTTTATGTAACAGACATTTTTCCCAATCTTTTTGAAAGTTCTTATAATTGTAAGATATAATGTTAGCAGGCGAATCCGACAATAAATAAGTTTCAATTTCATGTGGAGGTTTCAAATCTCCATAGCTATCGAAGTACGACACGATTTTACCTTTCTTTTTGTATGCCACCCAATGAGTACCATCACCTTCCATATCATCTAAATTAACAATCCCACTTTCACATTTTCTTATTTTGTGTGGGAGGTCGTTTCGCATATAAACTCCTCGAAAATATGGTATCTTTAATAAACATGCATATTTCTCTAAATCAATATTAGTTAACGGTCGACGAGGCAATTTAATCAGTTTTTTGACACATTCCCTAAAAATAACCCACATCCTTTCTTATACGGTTTTATATATAACCCTCCGCCTATCGATTTCGCCTCGATCGCACGATTATGACGTTTTTCCTCTTCCAGTTTCTCCCTGGCATTCTTTGCATTATTAATTGTTTTAGCTATAGCGGCTGCCCCACCACCTAAAGATCCTAATGCACCTAAAGCTGCAAACAAGGGTATCAAAGGTAAAAATCCACCACTTTTAGGAATTCTAATTACTCTTCCTCGAGGTGAATTTATTCTACCACGAGCATTCTTTAAAATGTTATATGCGGCATTCACATTTTGTAAAATATTTTTTGATCCGGTAGTACCGATTGCACGACGAGCTAATTTAATTGCGTTTCGAAAGGTTAATACCCCACCACGTTTTCTGCGCTTCAAAGGTCTTGATTTTAATCTTCGTCGACGGATACCCATTCCTAGTGCGCTTTTTACTTTCATAGCCGCGGCCACTGTTGAAGACGCTAATTTTTCACCAATGCTCGCGTCTTTACTTACAATTCGACTCTTCGCTGCCTCGTATAACTCCTTATCTGCTATGTGTCTGTTTGAAATGTTTACACTATCTGTATAAGCTATATCGTGTTTTTTACACGCTTCATCTAATTTATTCACACCACTATCACCTCTTGCTAATCTTTTTTTTAATTTTGTTCCGGGACCACAAAAATTGTATCCGGGAAGATGTAATTCAATAGGTAATTTATCAATTAACTTATTTAGAATTCCACGACCAGATCGTTTCACTGTTCGAGTACTACTATACTTCGATTGATCTCTACAATGCATTATATATATATATTAAACAGGGTTTTTAACTAACTCTGCACGGTTGGATATCTGTAATGAAACTAAAATTTTAAATTCAATAACACATATTTATTTCCAATTACTTACATATCGATGATAAATGACTAATCTTACTGCTTAAATACTATGTTTAAATCGTTCATCATACACTTTATTTCGATGATATAGACCTAAATACGGTTCTAATATTACTTTCATAATTTTAATTCTATTATTAAATCTAACATTATCTAAATAAGCTTGCCCCCAATCACCCTTTCTACTTTGCGTATACGCGTATGACCAAGTATACATAAGATATGTTTTATTATTTTCTTCACAAAATCTTACTTTTCTCATGTTAACAACAATTTACGTAAATCTATGTCCCACATAATCTTATCTATACCATAAACCAGTATTTCTTTTGTTATACAACTTTGTTCACAGATAGCACCATTTAGTACCGATATTACACATTGTTTAACATCATCACACATTAAAGACACTGCGTTAATAATTTCATCGTAATAGCTTTTGTAGTTCAAATTTTTTAGCAATTCTAAGCGATTAGAAACCACATCACTAATCTTCCATAGTTCGTGAACAGAATCATATGCCAGGAGTAGATGTTCAATACCTCGTTGTAATTTTAAAACTTTTCGAATATTCTCAATCCAATCGCAAGAAAATGTAATACCAGAGAAAGCTAAATTTAACGAAGTTTGACTTCCGAAACCATTCGTTATTGTGGATTTATGACACAACATATTGTTCCACTCGGTTTGCTTTAACGTTATACACTGACCTTTACCCATTATTCTTATTACTGGTTCAAAGTGCAGGTCGACTAATAACCCCACAGCCAACCATTTTGTGTGGCTTTTATTTAAAAAGTACACCGACTCTGAATATAGTGGGGCTCTGTTCCCTTTCTGAATATACTCGTCAATAGGACTTTGAATATTATTATCTCCATTGATTGAATAGTCATTGAAGTTTTGACCCATCTCGTCGATGGATAGAGGCTTATCGCTTTGATGAATTGTTATAGTGTCGTGATGCTCATTAATTTGAGATTGTCTCCCCTTTTTTGATAAACTCATTATATCAGCTGATGTTGTCGCCCTCTTTTGCCTAATTTTTCCAAATTGTTGTTGATGTTGACTTTTTTCTGACACTGTATAATTATAAAAAATAATTAAAAAGTTATTGATATATTTTTATGAAACATTCGAAGAATAGAAAAAATATAGGAAAAATATATAGAAAAATAGAGGAAAAATACTTACTTTTGAATATGTCTGGTGTAAACACAATATTACACTATGGTACCTATTATGAACTAACAATGATAGCAAGTTCCGCATTTATATACCTTTCAAGAAATAGAGGGGGTTATGTTCCAAGGTCACTTGTCATCTAAAATTAATAACCTACATTTCAACATCAACCTTGCAAACTTTGTTTAAAAAAGAAACATATAATGTATGTATGTATGTATCTGTATGTATGTATGTACAGGGATGCATAATTTTTACAACACAACACGAAACATATGTATAATAAATTATAATGTTCAAAAAAAGTACATTAGTAAAGGAAGAGTGAAACTAATCACATTGTTCTGACTGAGTTCGTTCAAGGTCTGCAAACTTAATTAACTTAAGTTAAAGGCTGAAGAGATCCACACAAGCTTTAATCTTTTCATTTTCTATTAGTTCAATCTTAACCGTTGGGTGGGTTAAAATTAACAATTTTAATATTTAATCTTAGTTCTATCTTAACCGTTGTAGATGTTGGGTGGGTCAAAATTAACAATTTTAATAGTTAACTATACAATAGTATAATAAATTTTATTTTATTTTATTTTAATTTATTTTATTTTATTTCTTGTTTTTTTTTGATCGAGGTCATGCGGCGTGACCTTACCTGATTCTGAAACCTACACCTTGAATACTCGAGGCCAAGATTACGCTGCGTGACCTTAGCCATGAGGTCGAGGTCACACGCCATAACCTTAGCCGATTCCGAGCTCCTATGAACATTCAAGGTCAAGGTCGCTTGGTGTGACCTTAGCCTACTTAGGAACCTTCTCCTTGAGCAGTCGAGGCCAAGGTCACATTAGCAGATTCTGGAACCTCATCCTGGAACAACCAAGGTCAAGGTCACGCGGTGTGACCTTGACCTTGGTTGTTCCAGGAGGAGGTTCCATAATCGGCGAATACCTACTACTCCGACAAGTATATGCCAAAAGAAAACGGCAAAAGATATCAGCCAAGAATGAATATATTTGACTATTTTATGAATTTTTAAAATCGACTACGTCATAACATTGGTCCAGTTATTTGAATTGTAAAAACGAAATTGTGTATTTTTGTTCGAATCCAAGGCGCGCTCGACTTTAAGCTGGCGTCGGGCGCCCGGCACTTCAGGGTTGAAGAGCCCCTCCAGTCCCCGATTCTTCGGCCGTACTCGGCAAAGCGACCGTGCGGGGTTTGCTTTCTGTCCCTTACGCCATGTAGTAAATAAGGTTGGAGCGATAGTACATACCATAGTCGCTTTGGGAACAAAGCTTTTAACTACCAAGGCCGATGGTGCAAGTATTACGGTTCTTTTCTTTTAACATGCAATATTCAAAATCGAACCAAAAAAACGGTTAAATGTTTCGACAAAGAATATTTTGGGAAATTACAAACATATTAAATTCATTAATCAAATCAGCTCACGTCTTTTCATTTATGATCGACGAAATAATTTATATTTCTTAATAGATACAGGTGCCGATATCTCAGTAATACATTTTAAATTACTTTCGGAACAGAAAAAAGATGTACAGCCTTCTCTTACAGCTGCAAACGGTTCACCAATACAAACTTATGGTAAAAAAAATGTTAACTGTTTCATTAAATTTGCGCAGAAACTTTCCTTTTACTTTCACTTTGGCTAACGTTACCAAACCAA